TTAGCAGCGCTCCCAGTTTTTTAACTAAAATTTTTTTATTCTTTTCACATGGCGCAGGACTTGGCATCTTGTTTATCTTTTTTTTAAAAGATAAGTGTTTTTATATGGTACGATTCTACATTACAAATTTAAATTTTTACTGATTCATTATACGACTCTATATATGTCTGCAACTTAATTTTCCACTGGTACAAGTTTCTACTTCACTTGGCGCAATTTTTTTTTTATTTCATTACTTTTGTTACAATTGTACATGGGTTTATAATCGATAATTTTCATTACAATTCTATTGTACATGGATTTGCAATGTAGGATTCTACATAAGTTTGCAATGGATAATTTTAATTACCAATTCTACATGGGTTTGCAATGGTTAATTTTCATAGGATTCTACATGAGTTTGCAATGGTTAATTTTTTATAGGATCTACATAGGTTTGCAATGGGTACGATTCTACATGGGTTTGCAATGGTAATTTTGCCTAGGATTCTAAATGGGTTTGCAATGATTAATTTTTCATAGGATTCTACACCCAGATAGCACATGGACATTCAATGGATGTCCATTGAACGTCTACTTTCTGGACGTCGGACATATTTTTGGTCCAAATAAGATTCGTCGGACGTCTGATGGACATCCATATCACATACGCTTGACACAACTTCGGACATCCATAAAATATCTGAAATAAGACTGTTGTTGAACCTATTTTGGACTTATTTGGATCATCTTGGACGTATTAACGATATCCATAATAAATCCAAAATAGGTCGAAAACGGTCTCATTTCGGACATATTACGGACGTAATTTTGGGATACATACTCGCGAATCTAATAAAATACTAAAACAATTGATTTATTCAAATATAAACATTTATTGACTTTGAGTTTGGTACCGAAAAATTGTTTTGTCAATATATATAATAATATATAATATTATTATATATTATATATTTATTTTTATACATATACATGTAAAAAATATATAATATAATATACAAAAATGATCAATATTACATACAAGATGTCAGGGTAAAGATTGTGCCAATTATACTCGCGAGCAAGTAGAATATGAACAGAAAAGTTTATATCATTTGCTAAATTCGCAATAATTGTTATATTATTAAAATATTTAAGCCATGAGCGAATGAAAAGCGAAAGTTTGAAATTGGTAGGTATCATATACAATAGAATAGATCGGCTAAAAAGATAGTAGGGGTCGATTTATTTTATTGTCTATGTTATGCCTACAGATTCCAAACTATCGCTTTCCATGCGCCCATTGGCTTACATATTCAAATTAATCACATTATTTTGCAAAAGCAAAATGATATAAGATTTTTATGTTTAGTTTACTACAATGTTTTATCTACTCACGAGCGTTGACATCCGACAATTTGTATATTTGAGAATAATTATAATATAATATATATTAATAAAAAGATAATATATAATATGGAAATCTAACATATGTATGGCTTATTATTTATAGTATAAGATATATCATAGAAATATTATTTTTATTGACTGGAAATATTAAAAATCTTATTTAAAAACTAGAAATTAAATTGAACATTTTGTTACGGAAACATTAGTATCACATACGTACATATTATAAAATAAATCTTAACTTATCTTGAAATAAATCTAACTTAAAAAACTTTGAACGCTTACAATGTTAATATTACGCATATGTATCATATAAATATATATGATAAAATATATCAAAAATTATTAATATTATTAATCTTCTTGTTATTAGTCTTCTTATAGTTATGATGAGTCTTCTTCAGTTCTTTGTTATCTTGCTTCTTCTTTTCACCATTTAATCTTTCTTTAGCTCTTCGCAGCCATTTCTGAACTGCTTCTTCTAAAACTTTCTTGTTATATTCGGAATTACTATCTTGACCGGAAACTGTAATAAAAAAATCAGCATCTTGTAAGCAATAATTTATTTTTTTATTATGTGATTTCATTAAGATTAATTATTTAAATAAGATAACATTAATAAATTAAACAAATAACATTATCTACTTATAGACATACTTACCAATTAGCAAGTCAGCGAGTTTTAAATGACAAAATTTCCTTTTCTGTTTTGCTCCTAGCCAACTATATTTTTCAGCCAGCTCGTTGGTCAACAAACGAGTACAATTGCGCTTAATAAATTCGTAAGGATTTTTTCCCCCTACTCTAGATACTTCTTTAACCTACAATAAATATTTTTAAAAAAACATTATTTTGAAAATTACAAATATATAACAATATGTTTAACAATTAATTTAATAATTTACATGTTATTAATATTACTATATAATTTATATTATAAATTTTAATAATATATCGCTCTAATAACCACAAATTAGATTTAAAATGTAATAAATAATATAGAATTAAAAGGAATTGAAAGAATCTATTTTATTTTTTTTGAAATTTATATATTAATTTAATTTAATAAATTTTTATTTTTAATTTTAACTTATTTACTAAGTTAATTTTATTTTGTGATTTAGAATTTTAGATTAACTGTAATTGTTTTAAAATATTTATAAAGATCTATTGTAAATAATTAACATTTAAAAGTTAAACAATTAGTTATTAATTTTAAAAATCCAATAAAACTCATTAAAAAAAATTAATAATTAATAAATTATTATTACCGATATTTCGAACTTATTCGGTTGATTTAAAAATTGTTCCACGTGCTCTTCTAAATCTTCCACCGAATTAAAAGGAAGATGAGGAAAAGAAAAAATAGACTCTTCTCTTTCAGTTACATTGGGCCGTTGATGAACTTGTTGCAACAATTCATTTTTCATATCTTTTAAATCATCTGCTATTTGCCATAACTGGGTCTTAAAGTATGATTGCTGACGGATAATTTCTTTAAAATACTGAAGCACTGTAAATTAAAACAAAAATAATGTAAAGATTATTTTTTACTTACTAAATTCCAATTTTTTAAAGATTCCATTGAGATTATATATGTATATATAAAATAGTAATTTCAGAATATATGTATATTGAATAGATTTTTGTCCGTGCTATTAACGTATAGTTATGACATTTTATTTATAAAGTGCACAGACAAAGAAAGCAATCACAAAAACATTTTAATATTTCTTTGTATAACAAAATAATAAATATAAATAATAAAATATAAATATGATTAAATATAAACATGATTAATATAAATATAATTATTGATTAAAATAATGATTAAGATAATGAAATATAATAAAGAAGATGGTGATAAAATGATGATAATGATAAAATAATGTTAATATAATAATAATATCAAAAAAATAGAATAAACAGTATAATAATAATTAATAATTATTTCTTTACAGTTATTTACTGATAGCACAGACAAAACCTATGAAAAATTATAAAGTTAGTTTTAAACAATATAAATTATGTACCAATTTTATTGTCGACAACATCTTCTGTCTTATTATTTTGTATGTTGTGCTCATTGTCCTGCAAAATATTTGAAATATTCAAAAATCCATCTTGTAAGTGCTTCGTCCGTTTATTCGGAACTTCATTGGATGATTGATCCACTGATCTTGATTGACATTTGTTGCTCTTCGCATTTTCGTAATTTGTACTTTTCAATGATTCTATGTATAAAAAAAATAATAATAGTAGTTACATATATAATCTTTGTAATACACAAACTAAACATATTTAATAATATCAGTATATACTTTTTATAATAATTTTAATTTAGTAGCTTTTATTATTATATTAATTTAATAATTTTATTAGTATTTTAGTTTTATATATAATAAAATATATAGAATACTGCATGAATGAACATAATAACATAGGAAATTCAATGCTAATTCTGAAATAATAAAAATATTGGCTCTTCTAACTGTTTTAGAATTAAATTTCATTATTTCTATTTTTTGGAAAAGCATATCAAGTATTGTCCTATATTAGTTTTTTTATTGACCCATTTTAACTATATTGTTAAATACAATTTCTTTAAATCTTGAAGATTCATTAAAATTGTATTTAACAATATTGACTTCGCCAATTTAAAAAAATTATATGTATAATATATATATATATTATTATATATTATTATATTATATTTTAATGTATTATAATATATTATAATATGTTAATTATTTAAAATCTATTTTCTCGGATTTTACAAAATTTGTTTTACATAATTTTGCAACTGCAGTTTTTCTATGTAAATACTTCTGTTAAGTTCTTCTGTATTATAGATTTAATTCAAGATATTGAATGACTAGCTGCTGTCATTAGGATATTATATTTCCCTACACGACATGAAAGATCTGATATGTCAATTGTGAAATGTTAAAATATTGATTTTTCTATTTATTTTCGAGCAAAGTTTTATTAAGTTTTTCGAATATTAAGATTAGTCGATTAAAATTTATATTATTAATGCAATTACTAAATTATGTAAAACAAATTTCGTAAAATCGGAGGAAGTAAGTTTTAAATAAATAATATATCATAAATATATTTTATAATACATTAAAATATAATATAATAATATATTATATATTTTTTATATTATATTATATATATTATGTATATTATATATTAATATTTAATATTAAAACGAACTTTGTGTGTTCATAATTGGAGGCGTCCGTAATTTAGTGCACTCTTCGGTAGATTCATCTGATGACGAAAAGAATTTCTTTGGGATAATTTTTCTTTTCGAAATGTTATCATTATCAGTCTCGGAGTTTAATTCAGATGTTAATTCAGCCTTTTTGGCTTTTTCCCTGGCTGTTTTATAGTTATCTGAAAATACAAGTAAATATATTTATATTATTATAACAAAAATAACGATTATGTACATATATTATTGATCACAAAAGTATATGTGGAATGTATAATATTTAAATATTTTATATTAACCATAACTGCTGTTTCTGAAAGTCATAACATTATATGAAGGCCAACATGTATTTGGTTCGGCATGTTTTTTGATAGCCGCTACAATTTTTTCCATGTGAAACGGTGGCCAATAACATTTTTATTGATAATCCAGGTAGATGGGACAGCTTCAACTGTATCTTCATCTATAAACCTTACTATAGTCCATGATCTCTCCATTTCTTCAAACATTTCAACAAAAAATTTAAGGAGCATTTTATTCCAACAAAAAATTCTATTTACAATTTATATATGAAAAGGCGCAAACACTCAATAACTTATCACAAAAATTGCAAACCTATTTCCTCTATATATTATATTGTATATTATATATATATTATATTTATCTATATATTATTATAAATTATATAAAAAATTAACATTTTTTTAGCGAAGAGCACAAGAAAAGAAAAATTTTTAAAAATATTCTGAATGTAATAAGGGAAAAACTACATACTTATTTTTATATTTTAATTTCATACATTTATTTGCAATTTGCCCTAAATCCCAGGATTCTAAATTTCCAATATCATTGATTACATATATCCCTAATTTTGACGACTTACATGGTACGGTGTAAAAATCTGTAAGCGTTTTATATTTATTTCCGATTACGAAAAAGCCCTCATTATTTACAACAAAATTTCTAATAACAATAATGTTTTCGTCTTTTAAGCTACAGCAATTATCGGGTTCATTTATTTTTAAAATAAATTGTTTAAACACCGCTTTGCCAAATTGATTACAATTATGAAAATTAATAATAAGTGGACCATTAAAATGTGGTTTTAAAAATTGAGGCTCGTTACATTTCACTCTGACATTAGAATTTATACAATAGTTTCTTTCAGTTATACGACAAACAATTTGCTCTAATTCTTTATTATTTTTACGAATCATTTTTAATATAGATTGTAAGTAATTTTCAAACGGAAAAGCACTGAATTCTTGAAGAATTCCAATTTTTTCGCGTCATCACAAATATGTAATAAATGATGCAGGTTGTGCGATGCATTTTCTTTACCATATAAATTAATAAATGTTTCTACAAAATATTGCAATAAGGAGTTGGAATAATCTAAATATTGTTCCATATGTTTTGAATTAGACAAAATAGTGATAGCTACATGTAAAGTTAAAAAATTTAAATATTGATCATGATTTAGAATAGATTTTAAAACAACAGATCCCGTATATAATAAAAAAGTTCTAAATTCGGTTGCCTTCCATCTTTTACTTTCAAACAAAGATCTTGATTTTCTATTAAATTCGGAAGGTATATATTTTTTTGATGTTCTAATAACTTTGATATTTCAGATATTTGACAAAAAGATAACTTTGTTTTAGGTTTTCCGTAACACCATAAAGAAATCAGTTTTTTAACAACTCCCAAGAATATTAAATGCATCGGATCAGATGGAAAATCATTCACCATATTTATATTAGGAATCGATTCAAGTATTGATGTACCTATATGATGGTTTTCTTGTAATTTTAATCGGAAATCGTTATCTGTTCTTAATTGACAACTATTTAAATATGGATAAGTCATTCTATTGAGATAATATTTGCCCTTAGCTGTACATTTAAAACATGCGTAATAACCCGAATGACCCTTTGTATAAGTAATAAAACATCTAGCAGGAACATCGCATATAAAAGATTTAATTTTAAAAGAATAAGTGTGATCTTTAATTTTTATACCATGAATAGTTAAATTTTTTGCTTCTTCTGTGAAAGATTGTAAAAATACATTGGCATCTGTGGGTTTTTCATGTCCATGATAAATTCCAATGACATCAACTTCATTGTAATTTTCAACTAAATTACATAAAATGGGATAAACTTGACTACTTGAACTTTTGAATAATGGCAGGCCATCGATGTTAATGTTAACTTCAATACAGTGTAAATTTTGAAAAGAACATCGCGATAAAAGTCTTTCGATGCAATTACTTAAACCGAAATGATAGTAATGTCCTGGTGCAACGACGTCTACATTGATTTTTCTGGGAGTTCCTAATAAACTGCGAGCATTTTTAGGCAATTCCGGATATTTAAGTTTCATATTAGATATTAATTCATTTAACGCAGTATGAGTTATATTATTTTTAATTGCCCATTCTTGCAACCAAGATATAGAATTTGGAAAATCAGTAGTGGAATTTATAGATTTAAAGTTATTCACAAAATTTGTAGATTCAAAGTTATCAAAATTATGTTCTGTATCATCGGGATCACGGTCCGAATTATAATTATTCACGGTTTCTAAATCATTATTGATATAAAAATTATTGCAATCCTCTAAATTATTATTTGAAACTGAAGGTGTACTTTCTAATAATGGCATTAAATTCTTATTTTGAACATTATTAATTACTAAATTAGTTATCTCTTGTGCTCTTCGATAATATTTTCTTCTTATTTTTGGCATTTTTAAAATTAATATTAAAATTTAAAATTTATTAATATTTTTCTACCTTTAATTAATTGATGAAAATCCGTTGAAAATTCGAGAATCGATAGAAATAATAATCTAAAAAATTTATAAATAACGCTATTAGCAATCAGTACAAAAACATTTAAAAAATAAAACAAATAAACAATAATCGGAAAAAAGCGTTGATTTAGTAACGAATGTCCCATGTATACAGGGTGTTTCAGAAATAAATCGCCAAACTTAAAAAGCATATTTTATTTACTGTAAGGATGAAAACAATAACAGATTTTAATAAATCTTTTATAACAGATTTTAAGAACATTTGAAACTGTAACATTTCATTACAGAAATTGTTGAAAATAATTTTCTTCCACATTAATGCACGTGTCGCATCGACATCGCATAGATATTATCGAAGACGTCCAAAAATTCTCGAAATATTTATTTTGTCACACGAAATGATAATACGATTTCGGAGTACTTTCACAGTAATAATACAAATATCATAAATGATTCTATAATATTATTACAGATCCATCTAATAACTTTTTGTTTATTTCTAATAAAAAGTGAATAGGACAATTCATGAAACGAAGCGAGATATATGTTGCCCGATGTAAATAAAAAATGTTTATAACTTGAAAAGAAAGCTGTTCCGAATGTTTATATACTTTTTATCATTATAGTGAGTAGAATATGCTCTTAAAGTTTAGCGATCTATTTCTAAAACATTTTGTGTATAGATTATTATCATTAAAGATTATAGAACATAGGAAACGAATATGAAAACGAAAACGTTCAATCAATTATATAATGAATGAAGGAAATTATGCGTGCGTGTGTGCGTGCGTATGTGATGTGTGCGTGAATGTGACAAAATTATTATTATATAATTATAGTAAAACGTCTTACCTTGATAAATTTCTAGCAAATGTCCAATAGATTGTGCAATGGTCGCAACCTCACAGCACTACACTACGTGTATGTATACGTGCTTACAATCGTCGACCGAATAAGGAAAGGTTCACTGACCCAAACATTACACTATCCTATAATAAGGATTCGCGGTTGTTTTGGTCTTGCGCATCACCGCGTGCGAGTACCGCGACGTCAAGGACGAGACGCAGTACCGTTAATTCTGACGGGGACATGTGCCCCGATAATAAATAAAAGTAAATTTATAGATTTAAATAAAATAAGTTATTATTAATAAATTATATTTAATTGGTATATAAAAAAATAATAATTTTAATATAAAAATAATTAAACTAAACATTAGTGTAAAAATAATTATAGTAAAAAAATATTGCGATACTAAAATAAATATTTAATAATAAAATACAATAATTATTTAATAATAATAATAATATACATATATTTTGATCGTGGCATTAAAAGAACAGATTTTGTAATATTAAAAATTATTTCTCAAATATATAAGTTTAGTTATAACATTAAATGATACTATAAAAACATTTTCAAACATTTTTTTATATATAAGTAAATGTTAAAAATATTTGTTGTGATATATTTATTAATAACATATTTTTAATATATAATGACATATATTCAATAAAAATTAAAGGAATTTTTGAAAAATATTTTAAAACATTTTATAGGAACGAAAGGCAAATATTTTTAAACGTTAATATAAAAAAAAATCAGTATTTAAATTTGAACATATATTGAATGTCCATAGGATGTACTGTTTAGGACATTTGATTCATATCCAAAAAAGGACATCCAATTTATGCCCTATTTATGTCCATGGACATATGGACATAAATTGGATTTAAAATGTACGTCCATAATACATCCAGTGCTATCTGGGCATGGGTTTGCAATAAGATAGAATTCTACATGGGTTTGCAATGGATAATTTTTGTTAATGGCGTGCCCTTAACTGGTCGCCTTTTTTTACCTTTTTTTAAAGGTGAGTTTTTAGAGATTATATCATTCATTTTTGTATATTTTTATGACCGGAATAGAACAATTATTAAACATGTTTATCTAAACTTCTTTGCTTAAAATGATGTGTACAATCATATCCTAGAATCCTGATCATTCCTCCTAAAGCACCCTATTTATATAAATTTACCCATATGTGTGTGTGTGTGTGTGTGTACTAATGTCGAGCATTTTTATACATTTTCTATTAAATTTAGATAAAAGTTGCAGGATTTCGAAAAAGAAAAAGTTGACACAGACTTTTTCCTAAACGGCGATTTTCAAGGTTATTTAAAGGTCACTTATATTTTCAAAATAGAATTACCTTAATTTTCTCATATAAATCGATTCCTCGCAATATTTACTATAAAAAGTTGTAAAGGTATAATTTTTACATAATCTTACATAAACTTCGAAATATTACAAATATTTTATTCTATGAAATATTTCAGTTTATGTAAAATTATGTTAACTATCTTTTAAATTATTCACTTTTAGCCATCTTACCCTTACAACCTTTTATAGTGAATATTGCAACAAATTGGTTTATATATATATATATATATAACATCAGTTATTATTAATTGATGTTTACATTTATTTTTAGACTTACTAGAGCTCTAATGCTCCACATTTTTTGCAAAAACTGTTTATTCTACAGATTTCAATTATGCTTTTAAATGATAATTGAATATTTCCTTTTTAATTA